TATAAGCTTATATTTTTTGCCGAATTTGAAAGATTTTAGTAATTCTTTTTTCTACACACACACACACACAGAGATGGAGAGAGAGAGAGAGAGAGAGTCATGTGCCACATAATGACATTTCAGTCAATGATGAACTGCATATATGATGGTGGTCCCATAAGATTATAAAGAACTGAAAAATTCTCACTGTCCATTGATGTCACAGTTGTGACAATGTAGCGCAGTACAGTACTTAGGTGTTTGTGGGGATACTTATGTAAACAAACCTACTGCACTGCCAGTCATGTAAAAGTATAGCTCATGTAATTATGTACGGTATATAATACTTGATAATGGTAATAAATGACTGTTACTGGTTTATGTACTCACTATATCACACTTTTTGTTGTTATTTTAAACTATACTCTTTTTATGTATTAAGAAAGTTAACTGTAAAACAGCCTCGGCCAGGTCCTTGGGAGTATTTCAGAAGAGGGCATTATTATACAGAAGATGACAGCTCCCTGTGTGTTATTGCCCTTGAAGACCTTCCACTGGGACAAAACCAGTGACACTGATGATCCTGACCCTATGTAGGCCTAGGCTGATGTGAATGTTTGTGTCTTAGTTTTTGTTTTTGTTTTTGTTTTGTTTTGTTTTTTACCAATGGGAGATGCTGTTTATTTACACCAGCAGCCATGGGAGCAGAGGGAATACACAGCGTTTACAAAGGTAGCTCCTCGTACAGAATGGATTACGTATGCAAAAATAAAAATCTCAAGACCACAGGACAGCGTGAGCCCTCCCCCCTCCCCCAATGACCTCAGCATGCGTTAATGCCAGGCGGGTGGCCCCTGGGCATGCGCAGGAGAGGGGGATGATGCATGGAAGGAAAAGCCACCGGCCATGGAAATTAGTACAGAGCTCCCCCCCACACACACACTCAGACACATGATAGGATACAGACACCTAGCCGGGGTGGGAAGGATGGGAATTGAACCCACACAGCCTGCTGTTAAGAGGGAGGGGAGTGGGGAGCTCCTAGCCCCTGTTCAACTACCTGGTAGCGGGGCACCCTCTCCCCAAAAGGAAAAGGGTTTGTTCCCTCAGGGTCTCTGCTGGACCAAGCCCATCTCTTACCCAGCCTGGGCAGGAGGCTCTGCCCTGAGGGCGGGCCAAGGAACAACCGGGAAGTTTATATGGACAAACCAGTTCCCAAACTACTTCCCACTTCTCCCTCCTCCAACCAGAAGGGGGAAAAGGGAGAGGCCACAGAGCAAAAGTGTATTAGGGCCTGAGCTGCAGTTGCCTCTCAGAAGGGAGAGTGGCCTACAGCCTTCCTCCCTTCACCTTCAGCCCACTCCCTAGACTGCATCTGGAAGCGGCTAGAGGCCTGCTGAGATCCTCTTCTCCCTCCAGCCTCCCCTCGGAGGGAGAGGGAGAAGGCTACGGAGGGCCAAGAACAGAGAAGGCCTGGCCCCAGGATTTATTCTAACTCCTGCCAAATTCTGTTTGGCTTTTTAAAAAATAATCACAATTTGTGGGTTAAAAACCAATTTGCAACCAGGCATCAGCCACAATCAGAACCACCCCAAGGGGAGAGCAGGGTTCCAGACAGGGCACTTCGGCCCCATCTCTGTTGTTCCCTTAACCCTCTAGGGTCCCTAACCCCATCAGTCCAACCAGTCCTGGGTACCAGCTACCCAAATGTGGGATGGCCCCTCTTGGGAAGAGGGCAGCGGACATGTCCAGCAAGTGCCAGAGAACTCAAGGTCACCTCCACCCGTATCAGTCAGCTCTGCTCCCAGCCCAGGTCGCAGTCCTCCAGCTTGGCTCCTGGGAGTGGTGGTGCCCGCGTGGAGCGGGGACGGTACATCTCTTCTGGATGTAGACCAGGCAGGTGGGCACACTGGCATGACCGTCCCACAGAGAGGCAGTGACACCCCTTCCCCTACACTGACAACCCAGAGCACAGAGGCCACCCTCTCTTCCCACCTGACTTCTAGCAAAGGGGGAGAGGCACAAGATTAGGATTTTCCTCAGAGCCCCAAACAGCAAGTACAGAATAAATAACTTAAAAGCGCTGAGGAAGGGAAAAAGGGCAGGCTTTGAAAGCAGGAACGCTGAGAGGAAATGAAGCCAGTCAAGGTGAAGGGGGGTGGAGCACCAGTGGGGAACATGGGCTACCCCGGTAGGGCAATGGGGCAGAGTGGGCAGGAGGAACACGGGGCCACCCCAGGAGGGTGAGGCTGGGTCCCTTCCTAGGGCAGGGAATGAGGTAAGAAAACATTTCAAATGAAGCAGCACTGTTCCCTCTCACCTTGGGGCCCCACTCCTCACCAGCCCTGGGTGAGGGAGGAGAGGCAGGGGGAGGAATTCTAACACATCTCCCTCTTTCTACTCTCCCTTTCCCATTCCTTGAAGCTGTAGAGGCTGGAGGCCCTTTCCTGGCACCCAACAACAAAAGGACAGCTTCTGCTGCCAAGGAGGCCCATGGGGACTGAGGGGCCAGGAAGGTGGCTGCAGTTCTGGGCGCCCACCTCAGCAGACAGCACTCTGTACCTGCCTACCCCTGGGACTGGGGGCATTTGATAGGATTCTGCACACAGACAGCACATGCCCAGCCATACCCCTCAGCTCCAAGCACCCGACCTATTCACATTGCTGAGGGCAGCCAGGGCAGACCCCCTTCAGGCTCAGCTTCCAACCCACAGCCTCCCAGGTCACTACACTGCCCCTCAGCAGGGCTTAGTTCCCCAGCAGGGCCAGTTCCTGGGGTGGGGGGCAGGCAGTGCTCTGGCACAGTGCCCAGATCAGGCCCCTGGCCTAGCTGGACATCCAGTAACTCACAGAATAAATAGGAAAACTGCCTCCCCACCAAACTTATATCCAAGGCATAATATGTCCGGGTCTGAGTCCTGCATGCTGAGGAGTCGTGCTCCATCGCAGAGGACCTTGACACCCCCCAGGGGCGCATAATTGGATCCTCTGCCTGCCTGGCCCACCAAGCTTCCCAAGCCCCAACCCTCAGCAGCCGTCCATTTGCCAGGCTATGCCACCTGGGTGGGGGTCAGGAGAGAGGGCTCTGCTCAGCCAAAGGCTATCCCTTGCACCCAAGTCAGTTGTCATCATAGATGCTGGGCGTCAGGGGTGCCAGTGGCTTTGGCTTCTTCTTTTTGTTGGAACCCAGGCCGGAGGCCGTCCCTACCAGGCTCATATGGGATTTCTTTTTCTTGGTTTTCCGTGACTCGGAGCTGCTGGTACCTAGACCCCATCCCTGATTTTCACTCGTCTTGGAGGAGGCTGAATCAGAGGGTGAGAGGTCAGAAGAGCCATCCCACTGAAGCCGGCTGATCAGGGCCTGGCTGTCAGTCATGTCAAAGCTGTCATTATCCAGGGAGCTCTCGGACCTCCGGAAGGACGGCCGAGGGTCTGAGGAAATAACTCCGCACACTTCGCCTCTTCTCATCTGTGTACTGTGGGCAGCGCAGGGACCTTGTGCACATCTTCCTGGCGTGTTCAGATCACCCCACATTGCGTAGTCAGCAGGCTTCGAAGCTCCTCTGGCCCCAGGGTCTCATAGCTGATCCCAGTTGAATTGTTATACTTAAAAGGATCCGAATTGCTAAGTTCCCCATTTTTGTGTTTTAAAGACTTGGATCTTCGAGGGGAATTGGGGTTCTTGTCTGATTTTCTCTTCTTGTTCTTCTTCTCCAAGCCATAGGACCAGTCGTTGTCATCATTATCCTCTTGGTCACTCTCAGACTTGTTCATATTGTTGCTATTGGCAATCCGGCGGTTGGCGATTCGGCTGCTGTTCCGACCCATTCCCAGGCACTTCTCCAGATGGGGAGCAAAGCGAGAGGCGGCAATGCTGCGACTGCATTTAGGGCAAACACACTCCTTGCTCTTCCACTAGTTGAAAACCTGTCCAAAGATGTCCAACCCCGGCTGGCCCACGATCTCAAAATCCTTCATGCCATCAGGGTCCGTGCAGTCCAGGAAGAAGTAGTCACACTTGACAGCCCGGTGTACCTCAAAGCAGAATCCCAAACAAGAATCTTCGACCAGGTCAGCGTATATTTCCTGAGCGATGGCCTCTAGTTTGCTGTTATCCAGGCCAGACAAAGACATTTTCTCCATTTTCATTTGTAAACTCTTGTGGAGACGGCGCTCTGACTGCTCATAGCACAGTGGGCCGCAACATGGCGTCGGGTGCTCCTGAGCCCCTTGTGGGTCCGGTCCGTCCTCGCCTCTCCCCAGGGCCCAGGGCCCGGGGCTGGGGGGTCGGGCACCCCCCACCCCCCCACCCCGCCTCGCCGCCTCACTGGGCGGCTGTGGCCCTTTCCCCTCCCTTCTTGTCCCGTCACCGCCTCCTCCTCCTCCTCCTCACCTCACCCTGCCCACGCACCTTCGGCGCGCACCTCTCCCCCACCCCGTCTTAGTTTTTAATAAAAAAAATTTTTAAAGTAAAAAACAGTTAATAATTTTAAAATAGGAAAAAGAAAAAAAATAAGGATATAAAGAAAGAAAATATGTTTGTACAACCGAATAGTGTGTTTGTGTTTGAGCTATTACAAGAATCAAAAAGCTTTAGAATTTAAAAGTTTATAAAATAAAAAAGTTACAGTAAGCTGATTAGTTTATTATTAAAGAAAAAAATTCAATAAAATGAATTCAGTGTAGTCTAAGTGTACTGTGTTTATAAAGTGGGCAGTAGTGTACATAATGTCCTAGGCCTTCATATTCACCACTCACACACTGACTCACCCAGAGCACCTTCCAGTCCTGCAAGGCATACCCATGGCATGGTGGTTTGCTGCACCTATCAACCCATCCTCTAGGTTTTAAAGCCCACATGCATTAGGTATTTGTCCTAATGCTCTCCCTCCTCTTTCTCCCACCCCCTCAACGGGCACCAGTGTGTGATGTTCCCAGGAGGAGGGGTCTTTATGTTAACGAGTCTCTAAGGGGTGAGAGGAGAGAGAAAACAGACTGGGCTAGCACTCTGCTGAGTTCGGATGCACTGGGTGCCTCATATCGTGCTGTTTGCCGCTGTCTCCCCTGCTCCTGCCCCTGCCCTTGGGTTCACTTCCTACAACAGAGCCCTGGGGAACCTGGCAGCTGTGGAAAGCCAGCTCTCTCTTGTGGCCCAGGAAACAGAAATTCAGCCAGCCAGGAGACAAAAAAAAAAACAGAAACCAGCACACAGAGATAAAAACGTGAAGAAGAAAGTGAACATAACTTCAGAGCAGTGACGTCAGGCCCTGCGAGGCATGCTTGGATCTTGACACAAAAATCCCTCTTTGACTTGATCTGGCTTTCATATGGATCTTTCACTTTAGCCCAAAGTGCCTCCTTGAAGCTGAGCACGATGGTGATTTGCCGGCAATTGACCTTCTTCATGATCTTCCCCAGGGGGACTTTCTCTCTCAGAGCTCAGACCTTGCACATGGCCCCTATGACCCACCTCCTGAAATTGGAGGCTCTGGGAAACAGCTGATGTGCCTCAGGACAGAGCAGGCACGGTCCACCCCCGCTTGTGCTAACCATGGAAATAAAGTGTAGACAGGGTATAGCTCAAGGGCTACGTGCAATTTTATCAGAAAGAAAATGCAATTTATTCTGACACTGAAAAATGAATTAGGTCTTCATGCTTCTTTTCTTTTTCTTTCTTTCTTCCCCCCCCCCCCCCCAAGATCTCGCTCTGTCATCCAGGCTGGAGTGCAGTGGCACCATCATGGCTCACTGCAGCCTCGACCTCCCGGGCTCAAGCGATCCTCCTGTCTCTCCTCATGTTTCTTAAGTCTGATTGACAGGGAGTCAAAAGCACACATGCCTAGCACCTCTCCTCAGAGGACTGGCCACAGTCATTTTGAGAAAGTTGGGGAGGTGTACACTAGATGGTGCTGTTGGCTTGCGTTATAGAACCCACACGGCAAGGGTTGGAGAACTGAATTTCACATTTGAGAAATGGAAAAGGAGGAAATAAAAACATGGAATGTCCTAAACTTTCTGAAAATCCAAAAAGGGCCCAAGGGAAGCTAAGTTCAATTATTCCTACTATGACGAATTGTATGATACTGTCAGATGTGCACTTTAGTGGGGTGTTCCTAGCCTGGGCTGCCCAAGAGATGGCAGCTACTCTAGGACTGGAGTGTGGACCCCTTCCCAGTGGTGAGCTGGGGTCCCTCTTAGGAATGACCATCAGCCCAGAGTGGAGGGGGGGCTTTTAATGCAGGGGTGAGTGGGGGCTTGCAGAAAACTGCCACCATCGATGCTCTGATGTCTGAATGCCACTTTTGTTACCTCGAGATTAAAATTTAGAGACAGACCATCCTGTGTGGCCTATCGGTGAGACTGGGACTCTGAAAGGAACACAGGAACTACCCACACTCGCCCTGACGTGGCTACTGGCCTCCCTGGCCCGCTTCGGTTCCCTGTGCGTTGGCCATTCTGATTGCTGCGTCCCGTCCTTTCTCAGACACATCTATTTTCTCACACCTGGAAATTACATCTGCTGGCAGTCTTCGGAATTTTCCAGAGAGTTAGCAGCTTGGGGCTCATTTGTTTCTGCTCATTTTTACTTAGTTTTTGAGAGGTGCTGTGGTCCATCCAGGCAAGACATGCTAATAGCTCATCAAAGAGAGGTTGTTTTTGGGAAGCGGAGCAGCCGCCGCTGATTCCGGAGCTGGAGTAGCTGCCGCCGCCGCCACTGCAGCGGCCTGAGGAGTGGGCTTGGGAAGGTGGTGGTCACCATGCCCGGAGCTGTGCTTGGAAGTGACAATGGGTAAAAGTGCGCTGGTACAGAAAGCCAAGCCCGCTGGGCAGGCTGAGCACGGTGATGATGTGGCTGCAGCCTGAGAAGCAGCCGCACAACAGGGGCACGCACTCCCTGCTCAAGGCAGCCATGTGCCCTCTGCCGCCTACAGGAACACGATGGGTGCCCGCCATCCTTTCTGGCTTGTCATCTCCAGGGCTGAGCAGAGAACAGGGAGGAAAGAGAAGCAGCTGATGGGCAAAGAACACTGTGGGAGACAACAGCAGAACTGCTGGACATCTGCAATGAGGTTCCAGAGCTGTTGGAGAAATTTCTTATTCCCCAGGTGACACAATCTGAAAGCAAGGTGTTCTGCTTGAAAATGAGAGGAGATTGTGTCAGGTGTCTGTAAGGGTTATTGCCGAGTTTAAGATGAGGAAACTGAGGCCAGTATAAAAAAATTAAATGCCAATTTATTCAGCTCCCAGGTGAGGTTCTCTGGTTCGGGGAAAGGGGGCCAGAGTAGTCGCGCTGACTTCCTGGGGTGGGGGGGTTTTATGGCTATGAGGAAGAAGCAACAGTTGGGGCTCTGATTGGCTCCAGGGGAGCGGAATTGGGACAGGGCGGGCCGATATTTGGTTGGCGGGTTGTTGGGGGGGTTTTCTGGTGAGAGCCTGCCAGGGTTGCATTAGCGGGAGCCTTCCAGGGGAGCCATGTGTCAGAGCTAGGTGCCGACTGTAGAGCCTGGTGTCGGGTGCAGAGTCAGGTACTGAATACAGAGGTGGGTGTGTCCGGCCTCCTGAGGAGGCAACCGGCCTTAGTGTCTTTCTGGGGTGGCGTCTGGGGTTCACTGTGTTGAACTCCCAGCAGGCTTACCAGGAAGCATCTGAAATCAGTAAGAAAGATGAGCAGTCTGCACACCCAATTCGACTGGGCCTGGCACTTAATTTCTCAGTCTTTTGTTATGAGATTTGAAATTCTCCTGAAAAGGTCTGCAGCCTGGCAAACGTGGCATTTGATCAAGCAATCACTGGATTGGATACACTGCATGAAGGGTCTTATAAAGACGGCACTCTCACCATGCAGTGAGTTTGGGACAATCTCACTCTGTGGTCAGGAAACCAGGGAGACTCAGGAGATGCTGGGGAGGCTGAGAACTGCTTCTGTCATGCCCCGTAATCCCTTGTTCAGTGTCACCCTGTCCCACCCACATACATCCCTTTGTGAGATTAAAACAAAAGAATTGTGTATTGACTTGCGATTTTTCACAGCCTCAGCCTAGCAAAAATAGTTCATAGGATAAACAGCTGGCATTTGTATCTAAAACCCAGACTGGTTGCATAAACGGCAAGGCATTCTGGAGTTTTGGTTCTGATTAACATTGGCAAGATTACTGTGTGTTTAATTTTCTTAACGCTGAACACTGTGATGATGGGTTTTATAATTCAGCAGAACTCTGACAGGAAAAATAGACCTGAATGTTATGTAACTCTTTGGAATATTTAATCCAATATCAAAATAGTCACTGAAATACAATTCTATTGTAAAGTTGTACAGAAAGTTAGAGAGATCATGTTGTATGATGCTGGGATTTGGAGTGAGACACCGTCATTTGGTATCCGAGTTTAACGGTAATTCACAGTGATGTTGCCTGTTCAGAGCTTAGAGACACTGGAGCTGTTTGGGCTATTGGCGCTCAAAAGTTCATGACCACAAATGTCCACAGCATCTTCCTCGAAGGAAACTCAAATCCTGAAGTTGAAATTCTTTGGGACAGATAACTTGCTTGCAACACTGTGAAAAGTTCTGGTGCTCATATGACACACCTGACTAAACCCCCTTTCCTGCAGCGATATGTAACTGATTTGCAGTTTGTGCTTCAGGAGTGGAATTATTTTTCATTGTTAACACTGAGCTAAATGCTGTGTGGTTTATGAATGCTCTAATCTGTTTCCTGGGTATTACCCTTTTTTTTTTTTTTTTTTTTTTTTTGGTGTGAGGAATTTAATGAGACAATGTGTTCAAAGTGCTCAGAACACCAGAGATACACAGCATTCACCCAAGGTGTTAGCCACTGTCATTATAGCACAGATATCCCTTCCCCACATGCCTTCACCCCACATTCATGGATAATACCTTTAAGGATAATGCTCTGAGTCAGGCGTGGTTGTGCGTGCCTGTAGTTCCAACTACTTGGGAGGCTGAGCCCAGGAGTTTAAGGCTGTAGGGTCCTATGGTAGCACCTGTGAATATCCACTGCACTCACGCATGGGCAACGTAGCAAGACCTTGTCTCCAAAAAAAAATAATAATATTCTACAGAGATTGCCTTTCACATGAGGAGTACTCAGGCTTTAGGTTCTTCCTAGCGTGGGGCTCTTATTTATTTATTTATTTATTTATTTATTTATTTATTTATTTAGACAGGAGGTATTTCTCTGTGGCCCAGACTGAGGTGCAATGGCACAATCTCAGCTCGCTGCAACCTCTGCCTCCTGGTTTCAAGCTGTTCCCCCGCCTCAGCCTCATGAGTAGCTGGGATTACAGGCATGAGACATCATGCCTAATTTATATATTTTTAGCAGAGATGGGGTTTCGCCATTTTGTCAGGCTGGTCTTGAACTCCTGATCTCAGGAGATCTTGGCCTCCCAAAGTGCTGGGATTATAGGCATGCTTGGATCTTTTAGATTTTGAAATCTAAACATTCATTGCCCCTGTCCCTTTCGAATGCTGACTTTGGTTTTCTCTTCTCTCTTCAAATTTCTGTGCTTCTGCTTTCTTACATCGTTTTCTTTCTGAATTCTTGCTTTATCTGTCTTTTGTTCACTTTTTAATGCTACATATGGGCAGGGGTGAGAGACATGAGCGAGCACCTTGGTGAGCAAGGCTTGCTTTAAAGAGTTGAGAAGAGCTGCCTGCACCACAGCGTTGTCTTCCTGCAGTTCTCAATATAGTGTTGTCTTCAGTCACACCATGCATCAAAAGAGTATTTTAAAATATCCAGTATTTTCCCTCTATTGAGGTTGACCCTGATCACGCTTGTAAGTACCTGTCGTCAGGTCTGCCAAGTGCACCCATGCAGCTTCACTCTCAGAAGTGTTTAAACAAGACACTAGCACCTGGGGCAGTTGTGTGGACACTGTGAGGGAGAGGCTGGAGAGGATCCAGGCCCCATCAGTCTCCCAGGGTCTCCCTCCACCTCTGACATTCCACCTGGCTTCAGGGTCCATCTGTTTGCCTATCTGCTGAGATGAAAAAAAAATGCATGCACTGACTCAAAACAAACCAAAAAAGAAAAAAAAGACAATACAATCCCTCCCTCCTTTGTAGCTGAACAAAAACGTATGTTCAGTGAATACTTGCTGCTTGAAAATGAGTAGTGAATGTGGAACCAATCTCGTCTTGTTTGTGTGTCTGGTAGCTTTGTTTTTTCTTACCAGTATTCTGCCTAACATTTGCTTCTCTGATAGTTATATTTATTGCCTAGCAAGCATACCTGTGGCTGGGAAAACAGAATAGCAAAAAAAAAAAAAAAAAAAAAGAAAGAAAAAAGAAACAAAACGAAAAATGCCTGGTTATTAATATACTAGATTTGTTTATGTCCTTTAAACACTTATTATTTTGCCTTACAGGGAATAATCAAGAAAAAGGTAAAAATTCAAAAGTGAAATAAAAATTTTATCAGTTAAAGGAAGAGAGACTTGATTTTCCTTTTCGGGTGGCACTTAAAACACTTCGATTATACATTCCATTATTACTTATGGATGTTAGCCAATAAACCTGTTGAGTAAAAGGTTTGACTTCCTTATGACTATTGAAAAAATTGATTTTGAATTTTTGTGGGTATATAGTAGGTATATACACTTATGGGGTAACAAGACATTTTCATACAGGCATGCAATGCATAATAAAATGCATTGCATCAGAGCAAATGAGGTATCCTATTCACTCTTACTTATTATTATTATTTATTTTTTGAAACAAAGTCTTCCTCTGCTGTCTAGGCTGGAGTGCAGTGGCACGATCTTGGCTCACTGCAGCATCTGCCTCCTGGGTTCAAGCAATTCTCCTGCCTCAGCCTCCCAAGAATCTGGGATTACAAGCATACACCACCACACCTGGCTAATTTTTGTATTTTTAGTAGAGGTGGGGTTTCACCATGTTGGTGAATAGGCTAGTCTCGAACTCCTGACCTTAAGTGATCCTCCCACTTTGGCCACCGAAAGTGCTGGGGTTGTAGGCCTGAGCACCATGCCCGGCCTTCCCCTTCACTCTTAAGTGAGAAATATTTTTCTACTTTTTCCATCATGGAGTTTATGATTTAAAACAGAAGAGGGAAAGCCATCTTACGCTCCTGCATTTACTGCACTATTAGATTCATTTAACAGAAAACATATTTCTTAAGGATGTTGGCTGCCAAAAGTTTTAAAATCTGAGTGGACAGGTATCTCATTAAGCGGTTTTGGTTTGTGAATTTTGGGGAAGCTATTCACTGGACACGTCTAAATGCCCTGTTGTGTATCATTGCAAAGTATGAAGACTTTGTTTGGATCTCACCCCATTATACGTATTTTTCTCTTTTTGGTGTCTAAAATCTACCAGGTGAATATATGGTGAGGATGAGGCAAATGTGCCTTGCCTGTAATATGCCAGTTTAATTGCTCATGGAATTTATGAATGACGCGGAATGGGAAGTGAGGGGAGAGTGAAGTGTGGGGATGGGAATCTCAAGAGCTGGTCTTGACAATGTGTGACTTGCCACAGTCAGACCGAGCATGGTGGCTCAGGCCTACAGGCCCAACAGTTTGGGAGGCTGAAGGGCGAGCATCACTTGAGACTAGTAGCTCAGACAAGCCTGGGCAACATAGAAAACCCATCTCTACAAAAAAATTAAAATAAAAATTAGTAGGGCATGGTAGCGCCTGTGGTCCCAGCTGCTTGGGTCTGTTTAGGTCACCGCTGTCTCCCCAGTACCAGGATTCCTTGAGCCCAGAAGTTCAAGGCTACAGTGAGCCCTGATGGTGCCACTGCACTCCAGCCTGGGTAACAGAGCGAGGCCTTGTCTCTAAAAAATCAAAAATAAAAAAGAAAGAGCAAACCTCTGTGAATGGTGGAGTTCACTGACTTTGGTCAAAGACTGAGATCACCTGTAAGAGGGGGGACCCCTTGCTGCTGGATTAGCTTGGTTCCATTGTGACATGTTTTCATAACTTCTGCACAATGCCATTATGGACGGTTGCTGTGTCTATTAGTGTGATAATTTGGTTAACATTTTTCTCCCCCACCAGACTAGAAACACTACGAGCCCCAGGGCTGAGTCTGTTTTGCATACTGCAGTATTCCCACCACCCAGGCCAGAGTCCAGCACAGGGACTGTGCTGCGGTTGCTGCCACCTGCTCCAAGAAGGCCTACCTGGATCCCGGGGCCATGCTGCCTCGCTCAGCGGCCACCTATGACCGGCCCATTGCCGACATGCACTCTGCAGCCCATGGGCCTGGAGAGGCCTCGGCCATTCAGAGCCTTATAAAGTACAGTGGCAGCTTCGCCCGGGAGGCCGTGGCCGTGCGCCCTGGTAGCTGTGGCAAGAAGAGCCCCTTTGGAGGTTTGGGCACCATGAAACCTGAGCCTGCTCCCACCTCTGCAGGTACCCCCTCAGCCCAGGCCTGATTCCCACACCCTGGAGGCCCTGCAGTGGGTGGCGGCCGGCAGCTGAAGCGGGACCCTGAGAGGCCCGAGAGTGCCAAGGCTTTTGGGCATGAGGGCTCTGGTGCTCAGGGTGAGGCAGAAGTGCGACACCCGCCCATGGGCATTGCAGTGGCCGTGGCCCGACAGAAAGACAGTGGCGGCAGTGGCAGGCTGGGGCCTGGACTGGCAGACCAGGAGTGCTCTTTGTCATTTAGTGACGTCAAAGGGCACTGCCGAGTGATGAGGACTGTGTGGATGACCGGGCCAGGCACCGGGAGGAGCGGCTGCTGGGGGCACAGCTGGACTGGGATCAGGAGAAGTGGCTCAGAGACAGTAAGGAGCTGGCAGACCTGGCCCGCCTGCAGCCTACCAGCTGTGCTCCTAACGGCCTCACCCCCAACCTCATGGTGACCGGGGGCCCGGCGCTGGCGGGCTCAGGGCGCTGGTCTGCTGAGCCCGCAGCGCATCTGGCCATGCACCCCTGGTTGCCCCACTCGGGCAGCACATCCATGTGGCTCGCCGGACACCCCTATGGCTTGCCGCCCCCATCTCTGCACCAGAGCATGGCCCCTGCGTTTCCACCCGGCCTGGGGGGCTCCCTCTGTCGGCCTTCCAGTTTGTCAGGGACCCCCAGTCAAGCCAGCTGGTGGTCATTCCCAGCAATCACCTGCCTCACTTCGTGGAGCTGATGGAGTGGGCCACCGTGCCACCCCTCTGGCCCACTGTATACCGGCCGGGCCGCAGCCCCCTGCACCACGCCCAGCAGCTGCAGCTTTTCTTGCAGCAGCACTTCCTATGGCAGCAGGAGTTCCTGTACCTGCAGCAGCAGGCGGCCCAGGCCCTGGAACTGCAGAGGAGCGCCTAGCTACTGCAGGAGCGGCTGAAGGCACAGGAGCACCGGGCAGAGATGGAGGAGAAGGGGAGCAAGGGGGGTCTGGAGGCCCCAAGCAAAGGTGGCCTGGCCACCGCTGGCCCTGGGCTACTGCCTTGGAAGCCCCCCTGCCTGGCCGCCGGCCCTGCAGGCACCTATGGCAAGGCTGTGAGCCCGCCACCATCGCCCCATGCGTCCCCTGTGGCTGCCCTGAAAGCCAAGATCATCCAGAAGCTGGAGGATGCATCCAAGTCACCCGCTTATGCATACCCTGCCACCCCCACTCCGCTCCCACCCCACCAGCTCACCACCCACCTCTCCGCCCCCCACCCCGGGTATCACCCACAAGGAGGAGGCCCCCGAGAATGTGGTCGAGAAGAAAGACTTGGAGTTGGAGAAGGAAGCCCCCAGCCCCTTCCAGGCCTCGTTCTCAGATATCCCACCCAGGTACCCGTTCCAACCAGTACGGGAGGCCCTACCCTTTCCTGCTGCAACCCACGGCGGCTGCTGACGCAGATGGCCTGGCCCCAGATGTGCCACTCCTGGCTGATGGGCCTGAGCGCCTGGCACTCTCGCTGGAAGACAAGCCTATCCAATTGTCCCCTCCAAGATCCCAGAGCCGCTGCGGGAGGGCCCAGAGGAAGAACCACTGGCCCAGCGGGAGGTGAGGGCGGAGGTGGAGGACATGGACAAGGGTCCCGCAAAGCTGCTGCCTCTGGAGTTGCTGCTGCCCCTGCCCGCTGCAGAAGCCATGGCCACCCCGAGCCCTGCAGGCAGTTGTAGAGGTGGCCTGTTGGAGGCCCAGGCGCTGAGTGCCACCGGGCAGGGCTGCGTGGAGCCCTCCGAGTGCCCAGACTTTGCAGAGGGGCCTGAAGCTCGGGTGGATTCCCCAGGCTGGACAGAACCCTGCATGACTGCCCTGGACCTGGGGGTGCAGCAGGCACCTCAGACACTGGTGGAGACCAAGGAGGAGCCCGTGGAGTTGTCTGTGGCAGTGCCCATGGCAGAGGCAGTGCCTGAGGAAGGCCTGGCCCAGGCAACCCCAAGCGAGCCCCAGCCCAGCCTTCAAATGGACTGTGACGTGCCTGCTGGGGAGGGACAGTGCCTGAGCCCGGAGCCCCAGGAGGCCGTGCCTGTACCCAGCAGCACTTGCTACCTGGAAGAGGGAAGCTCTGACCAGTTCCTGCCTTGCCTGGAGGACCCACTGGCTGGCATGAATGCCCTGGCAGCGGCTGCGGAGCTGCCCCAGGCCAGGCCTCTGCCCTCCCCGGGCGCTGCCGGAGCCCAGGCTGTGGAGAAGCTGGAAGTGGCCAAGAGCCTTGTCCTGGAGCAGAGCTTCCTGCACTGGATCACCCTGCTGAGCGAGATCGCAGAGCTGGAGCTGGAGAGGAGGAGCCAGGAGCTAGGAGGTGTGGAGCGGGCCCTGGTGGCATGGCCCTCCCTGGAGAACCTGCTGGCAGCGGGCAGCCACATGCTGAGGGAAGTGCTGGATGGGCCTGTGGTGGACCCACTCAAGAACCTGCGGTTGCCCGGGAAGCTGAAGCCCAACAAGAAGTACAGCTGGATGCACAAGAAGGAGGAGCGGATGTATGCCATGAAGTCCTCCCTAGAGGACATAGATGCCCTGGAGCTGGACTTCCAGATGCGGCTGGCCGAGGTCCAGCGTGAGTACAAGGAGAAGCAGAGTGAGCTGCTGAAGCTGCAGTGGCACCGGGACTCCGAGGACAGGCATGAGGAACCCCATAGAAGCTTGGCACGCAGAGGCCCTGGCAGGCCGCAGAAACGGACCCACGCCCTGAGCGCCCTGTTGCCCGCCCCCGCAAGAGAGGGAAGTGCTGCAACAGTGGCGGAAAGCTGAGCAGCAAGTCTCTGCTGACGTCAGATGACTATGAGCTGGGAGCAGGGACACAGAAGAGACACAAAGGGCCCGAGGAAGAACAGGATGCCCACATTGGAATGGGGAAAGCCGGGGGAGGAGCCAGACTTGGGATGAACCTGAGACCTTGTCTGACTTCATAAGTCAGCTAAAAATTAAGAAGAAGAAGATGGCCAGCTACCAGGAGCAGTTGGCAAGCAAGCTCGACAAGGCCCTCTCCCTCACCAAGCAGGACAAGTTGAAGTCGCCCTTCAAGTTTTTGGACAGTAGTGGGTGGAAATCGAAAACTGGCAGGGGCTGTGGCAGGTACTTGACTCCTTACGACAGCCTGCTGGGCAAGGAGAGGAAGGCGCTGGCCAAGGGCCTCGGCCTGTCTCTGAAATCCTCCAGAGAAGGTAAACACAAAAGGGCCGCCAAAACCAGGAAGATGGAGGTGGGGTTTACGGCCAGAGGCCAGCCCAAATCGGCCCATTCCCTGTTCGCCTCAGAAGTGAGCAGCTACTCTTACAATACGGACTCAGATGAAGATGAAGAATTCCTGAAGGACGAGTGGCCCGCCCAAGGCCCCTCCAGCTCCAAACTGACGCCTTCCCTCCTGTGTGGCATGGTGGCAAAGAACAGCAAGGCGGCTGGCGGCCCCAAGCTGACCAAGAGGGGCCTGGTGGCACCCCGGACTCTGAAACCCAAGCCGGCCACCAGCAGGAAGCAGCCATTCTGTTTGTTGCTTCTAGAGGCCGAGGTGCGGTCCTTCTTCAGCGACTCTTCGGAGGAATCGCTTGACCAGGTTACTAGCTCCAAACGCAAAATAGCTTCCGTGTTTCCTAGCGAGGGAGTGAGTGCGAGTGAGCGAGAGGGAAGCGAGTGGGCGTGCGGGAGAGATGGTGGATGAGAAGGCCCGCGCAGATGGCCGCAGGAAGGCTGCCATCTGGGTTCTTGGCAGCATAGCCTGCTGCATCAGCTGAATGATTTTTATTTTTGCTTTTATTTGGACTGTATCATTGTGATAATCTCACCGGCTAGCTCTTTTGGAGCTGTAACGTGGACCGCTTTGAGTCTGCATTTTTCTCCACTTTCCCTCCTCTTTGTCCTCCTCCCCCTAGCCCAAGATCCTCCCCCTCCACCCCAGACCCCTGCACTCACCTTTTCTGCCCACCCAGAGATCCCAGGCTTGGATCGGGCTCTCTTGGGGCACGGCCCGGTGGAGGCTTCCCGAGCAACATTTTGTAAATGGAATTCTGTCTTGTGGGCGTGTGACTTGATGTTTGTACCGCGATTTTGGTTACCAAGCTTTATTAAACACATCGAGTTCATTTTTAACAAACAAACAAAGAAAAGCGCATCCTTTGCTGTATCTCACATAGCTGTGTGACTGGTCTCAGCCCCTTTAGCCTCCCAATTGTTCTTGAAAATGATTGTAGAGAAGTGTGGATGTCTGAACTGGGAGAGGGGAGACAGGAAACTTTCCTGTATGGCAGAAGAGCAACCTCCACGCAGGGCATAGACCTACTCACTATTTAGACAGCTATCAGTTAAGAACTTTGATGTGCCTGCTACTGGCAAGACAGTGGGGGCCTAAACAGACATGAGCTCTGCCACATAGTTTTTGTTCTTCTGAAATTTACAGTCTGGCGAGGGAGATAGACTGCAGTAAAAGAGCCACAGACATGAGTGGACAATTACAAACTAAGGGCAGCAGGTCAACCCTGAAAAGTCAAGGGACAGGCAGCCGTAAAAGCATCCATCCATCGGTGGAGCCCAGCATAGAACTGAGGAGTCAGGGAAGGCTTCCCATAGGGAGCCACACTTCCACTGAGTCACAGGTGTCTGGAGCAGAGAGGCCTGTGCAAAGGCCCTGTGTCTAGAGGAAGCTGAACTTCTTCAAGGACCTGCCAGAGGACAAGATGTCAGGAGATGAGAGGTTAGAACATGAGAGGTCAATGGCAATGTGCAGGAGTTATGAAAACATGTCGCAAGCTCATTTAGCAGCAGGGGGTCCCCCTTTTATTGGTGATCCTAGTCTTTGACCAAAGCCAGTGAACTCTGCCATTCACATAGGTTTGCTGTTTATTTTTTATTTTTGTGTTTTTAGAGACAGGATCTCACTCTGTCACCCAGGCTAGAGTCAGGCTCACTGTGGCGTTGAACTTCTGGGCTCAAGGAATCCTCCCAGCTCAGCTGCCCAAGCAGCTAGGACCACAGGCACCATCATGGAACCCTGAAAGTAGGGGAGCCTGGTGCCAGGTGAGGCACAGAGGTCAGGAGAGGCCAGATCACATGACCCTTAGGTGTCAGGGGTTTTAGTCTTTATTCTTAAAGAACGGGTGGTCTTGAAGTAAAGCAGAGTGTGGTATAATAGGCGTATCCGTTACTTATTGCGGTGTAACAAATTACCCCAAAGTGTAGTGGCATAAAACAACTTATATTATTATCTCACAGTTCTTTGGGCTAGGAATTTGGACATGGCTTAGCTGGGTCCTCTGCCTCTGGGTCTCCCACAAGATTACAATCCAGTGTCAACGGGAGCTGCAGCTATCTCAAGGCTTGCCTGGGGAGAGGGTTCATTTCCAAGGTCACCCAGTGGCTGTGGGCAGACCTCAGGCCTTTGCTCACTGCCGGCTGGAAGCATTTCTTCATTGTCTCAGGAGCTTCTCCCTAATGCTTCTCACAACATGGCAATTTGATTCCCCCTGAATGGTAAGGCAGGAGAGAGAGAAAACATCGTTTTTGTAACCGAATGTGAAATGTGACATTCTGTCACTTTTACAATATTCTATTCATAGAAACAACTCACCTGCTGCGGCCCACACTGAGGAGGAGATTGTACCAAGGAGTGAATGCCAGGGGGTGGGAATGTCTTGGTGCCAGTGCAGATGCTGCCTACTGCAGTGTGGAGAATGGATTGGAGGGGTCAGAATGAACATAGTGAGAAGATTCAAAGGCTCCTGCAGGAGTCTAAGCGAGGGACAGGTGCAGATTATAGCTTGGAAGAAGCTGGTAGCTGTGGTGACGATGGACTCTGGCTGTATATATTGGAGAGACACTTAAAAGGTAAAATTGACAGGTAGTAGCTTAGAAATGGGTTGAATATGAGAGAAAAGGAAGAGAATGTTACAGAGCATTCTTAGGTGTCTGTCTTCTACACTGCATAGACTGGGGCCATTTGTGGAGTCAAGGACCATGAGACAAGGACCAGGTTAACAGAGAAAGATCAGGGGTTCCATCTTCAAAGGACTGGCATTGAAACGATACACAAGGACCCTGAGATTCCGAATCACTTTACTGGACATCTTGTGCATGCAGGAAGATGTCTCAGTCTTGAGCTCAGAGATGCAGATTGGATATTTAAGAGTGGGAGCATCAGCAGGTTGCCTTGTGAAGAAAGTTCAGGCTGATGAGGGGTGGATCCTGGCCTGAGTCTTGGTGAGCTCCCCATGCCATGTTGGGTAGAGAAGGAGCAGCCTAAAAGAAGGTAGATGAGGTAGGGCTATATCAGAGAGACAATGATCAGGGAGGGGCTATTTCAGAGGCACAGAGAGAACATTCAGGAAGGAGGGAGTGGCTGACAGCACTAGGGCTGCTGGAAGACCAAATAGGATGGGGACCACTGATGACCAACACTCATCAGCAGACACTTACAGAGGACCTGCTAAGTGTCAGGCCCTGCAAGCCTCCATTTGTTGTCACCTTCCTGCACGTCTCAGTGTAGGGGATATGTAGGAACCGAACACCTGACGTATACTTTTAAATCCCCCAGCCACAATGCTAGCTGCCAAATCAATGTTAGCAGCTGCTTGCCATGCCAGTTTTTCCAAGGGTCTGGCTGGATGGGGTGGTGTTTTGCATGCAGCCCCTAGACTGGCTGCATAAGGCTGGGGACTTCATAACAAAACAGACACCAGGATCGTGGTCCCAGAAGACTAGGTCAGTGGGTGAAAGAGAACTAGGCAACTGATTTAAAATAATCAGGTTTTTTTTTTTTTTTTTTTTCCTGGTGCACAGGCAGGGTAGGGAGCCCCTCAGACGTCTGGGCTGAATTCTGATTCCTCCAAGAGTCAGTGCTTCCACCCTGCACGGGTCACTTGCTGAGCCTCCTTTTCCCGCCATGAGAGATAAGTAGGATGGCAGTTGCCCACTAGGTTGTTGTATTGAATGGGATCCTGTTTGTGGAAGCCTTGGAGTAACGTCTTAAAAGTGTCCCAAGTCCTAGGTGGTTGAGGATGGTGCCACTCAGGCATTAATGTGCATGAAGCATCTGGAGATCCTATAAAATGTACATTTGGCTTCGGTCTCCCTGAGTGGGTCTGTGAATCTGCCTTTATAGCACACTCCAGTCTGAGTCAACGCCCTGTCGTGTGAACCACGAGTTCTTTGGGTGGTAATGGTTGATGAAATTTGCATGTGGTGTTATGCATGACCCCCTAGCTGAGGTCTTCATGATGTTTGCATCTGATTTGATGACATCATCACAAGATTGCTTCACATTTCAAAAATGGTATCTTCTGCAATACTAATAACCAAAAGAAAAGCCATTCTAACCCCGAGCCAGCAATCATAGAAACAGTGAACCCTCCAGCTCTGAGCACTGTGATAATACAAAGCAAGCAGTCCACTAGAGCATCGGCAACAGAAGAATGGAACACTCAGTCAAACTCATAATTGTAAACCACGGCACGAGCAGCATATGTTGCATAGGCATATGAATCAATCAACCCCACCCACTGCAAATACAAGATATTTCAATATGCTTCATTCCAAAGTACTTTTGATTAAAAAGCTTATTTGGGGGTAAATGCAAATTACCTCTAGGTGTGTTCCCTTCAGCCAGCTGTTGAGGAATCTTAAGCGCAAGGGTTCAGCACCCATAGATTTTACTCTGTGCAAGCCCGATGATGCACTGTTTTCTTAGGCAGGGATTTTGAGTATGTCTTTCAGAGCTGCAATTTTCAGCAGCACAGCCAAGGCATTTAAAAGGATGATCATGAGAATGAGATTCAGGTGATTGGAGGTGGTCACAGTTTCACGAAGGGGGTTATTCATATATACAGCCCAGGATGACACGTGCTGGACCTCTTTTAAGTTGATGATGTTTGCAACAGGCACTGACAAGCAGAGTAAGTAGAGAGATGAAATACATTTTGAAATTATGCAGGTAAAGGAAATCATGCTCTCAGGGTTATAGAGAGGGCAGCAGAAATGGTTTGTGGAGGCCCCAGTATTCCGGAATAGCCTTGACTTCAAGGAGATGGGTCTAATGTCCCCATGGTCATTCCATTATTTGTCACACCAAAACTATCATTACCATGAGGGGCAGGCACTAACATTTCTTTGTGCTCATGTTGTTTCCAGGCACTTTATGTACCTTTTTTTTTTTTTGGACGAGTCTTACTCTGTTGACCAGGCTGGAGTGCAGTGGCACCATCTCGACTGACTGCAACCTCCGCCTCCTGAGTTCAAACAATTCTCCTGCCTCAGCCTCCCGAGTAGCTGGGATTACAGGCACATGCCACCAGGCCTGGCTAATTTTTGTATTTTTAGTAAAGATGGGGTTTCACCATATGGGTCAAGCTGGTCTCAAACTTATGACATCAAATGATCCACCCACCTCGGCCTCCCAAAGTGCTGGGATTACAGGTATGACTTTTTCTTCCTTAATACTTCCTTAATACTTAGGAGGTGGGACTATTGTTATTCCCACTTTGGGATGTGAAAACTGAGGTTCAAAGTCATGTAGTTAGAAGCAACAAGGACAGGATTGGAGTGTGACTGAGCAGCAGGTGGGATTGCATGATAATCTCCCATCTCTGCTCACAGGAGCTTGGCCGAAGACACAGCAGCAGCCTGGCCAGTGTCGTCCCCACTCCCCACTTCTGCCATGTACTGCTTTCCACTGATGGCAGCTCTGCCACCCACACTTCTCAGAGGTCACGTCTTGTCTAAGAGCAGTGTCCCTGATGTATTTTAAATAAAAAGTAGCATTTTTAGAAAATGCATACAGTAGAACCCTCGGGTCTGGGTATGTGCATGCATGTGCCCGTGTGTGTGTTTCAGACCCCTTGCACTTCACTACACTTCGAGGAGGGAATGGGGAGGTTATCCCAATCATGACTGATTTCCTTCCAGAATGGAAGTTAATCTGTTTTAGAGAAAATAATGTGGCATTTAATATATACACACAGCAATGAAGTTAAAATTTCATCCCAGTTACACACGCAAAGGAGCAAGAGTGACTCCCAACACTGGAGTTTGCCCTCAGTTTTAGCTGCTGTTGTGTCCCCTCTGCACCAAGGACCTCTGTCCATCTCTCCACTGTTTGTTAGTAATGCTGCTGACTCCAAAACGCTTAATCGCTCTCAAAACGGCTCAACTTATAAAGAATTCTGGAGGGGTAAAGATGGAGAATATTTCATGTCAGTATCAAAGAGGAGGCTGTGCTTGTGTCTTCTGGGGCCAGTTTCACAGAAATTTTGTCTCATCTGGCTTTCCAAAGACTCAAATGTTATAAATTATTTGTTCCTTATTATAGCTTTTGTCCTTTGTGAGAATGTGAAAGCTGAAGTCTTCATTATGTCTTACTAAGAAAGGTCATACTGATTTTTTTCCTGATGGGAGGTGGTGGGTGAGGCAAGCAGAACAGACCGTCTAGGAATAATTTAGACAGAAACCGAAAGGGTGGAAGGGGACTTCAGTAAGCCTCAGAGGAAATAGCCTGGGCTCCCCTTTTCCAGGTAGAATAGGGACAGTTGGGCTAAGTTTGCAGGGAAAGCAAACAGCAAATATAACTTTTTACTGTGGTAGTGATGGTGAAAGAGTCTGAACTTAATCTGAGTGGTGAGTCCATTTTGGGGCTTGACTGTCACATTCAAGCCTTTCTGTCTGTGCACCAAAATCACTGCTTTTGTTTATGTATTTTCTGAAAGGTGCTTCTCATTCTATTGCCCTTTACTCATCAGCATCATCAGTGTGAATATTATGAATGAGTTTTATGCACTGCACGAAATATCATTTCAGAAACATATTCCAAAGCAGGGAACATTAGATAAAATCAACAAGGGTGCGCCAGGCGCGGTGGCTCAAGCCTGTAATCCCAGCACTTTGGGAGGCCGAGGCGGGTGGATCACGAGGTCAAGAGATCAAGACCATCCTGGTCAACATGGTGAAACCCAGTCTCTACTAAAAATACAAAAAATTAGCTGGGCACGGTGGCACGTGCCTGTAATCCCAGCTACTCAGGAGGCTGAGGCAGGAGAATTGCCTGAACTCAGGAGGCGGAGGTTGCAGTGAGCCGAGATTGTGCCATTGCACTCCAGCCTGGGTAACAAGAGCGAAACTCCGTCTCAAAAAAAAAAAACAAGGGTTGGAGAAGACCCATCTGTCCTCTCCACCGCCACCTGGGTGCAGGTTCTCACTGTCTCTTTCTAGACAACCGCAGTAGCTTCATAACTCTTCTTCTTCTTCTTCTTCTTTTCTTCTTCTTTTCTTCTTCTTCTTCTTCTTTCTTCTTCTTCCTCCTCTTCCTCTTCCTCTTCCTCTTCCTCTTTCTTCTTCTTCTTCTTCTTCTTCTTCTTCTTCTTCTTCTTCTTCTTCTTCTTCTTCTTCTTCTTCTTCTACTTTTTCTTTTTCTTCTTGCCCTGGGTCTCTTCCTGTGAGAAATCTGTGCTGTTCTGCACAGCCACTCTGAGACACAGGCTTGTGGCACATTGTGACTGGGAGTCCTCACCATGCAGCCACGAGATGAGGAAAGAGCCAGTAAAGAGCTTGTCACTTCCACGGACATGTCGTTAGCAAGAACTTGTACACCACTTAACTGTGACAGAGCTTGGGAAATGTCATCCATCTCTGCACCCAGGGAGAAGAGGAAGATGTGGGCATTGGAGAGTACCAGCAGACCCTGCCACAGGGGCCAATCCTTCTCAAGCTGGCCCCAGCCTGCCCTTTTCCTTGTTGCCCTACCCCCAGCCTCAACCATGGGATTGCATGTCTTTGCACATGCTGATGCTCCTGCCCACAATTCTCATCTGCCTCCTGTTCTGGGCATGTTCCACCTGAGCATTTCTCTCCTGTGAAACTGCCCTAGAACACCCAAGTGGCAAAACACTTATCTAAGTGTAATGGCTGTGTTTTCTCATGAGCCTGTTCAGAAATACACTGCCTTGTATTTGTATAGAATTGTGAAGGATCTTGAAGAGCCCAGACAAATGTTAAAGAATAAAAACAAAGCTGAGGGACTCTCAATGCCAGATTTCAAGATTTACAATAAAACTTTGCTAATTAGGACACTGTGGTATTGGCATAAAGACAAATAGACCAATGGAAGAGGCTGGTGGATCCAGAAATAGCCTGCACATAAATGGTCACAGAATCACACAAAGCCACTCCTGCAATTTAGTGAATGAAGAATGTCTTTTTCAATAAATGATGCTACATCAACTCCATATCTATTTGGAAAATATGAACTAAGCTCTTAGCTCACCCCATTTACAAAAATTAATTTGACATGGATCAATACCTTGTGTTGAAGGTTGAAACAATGATGATTTGAGAATGAAATGTAAGAGAATATCTTCATGACCTTGGGATAGGTCATTTTTTTTTTTTTTTTTTTTTTTTTTTGCTTTTCCAACTTTATTTAGAAAAACAAATCCAGGTCCTAGTGCCCCCTGTACCCTCCCAGACCCCAGCCATAATTTAAATAACTTAGAGACAGAGTTGGAGGGAGTGGACAGGAGAGACTGGGGTTGCAGTGGAAGGAGGAAGAGAGCCCACTACAGCTGCCGCAGTGCCCGCTTCTTGTCCGTCTTTTTCTTGGCCGCCAGCTTCTTGTCTCACTCGCCAGCTTCTTGGCCATGGGACCCTCAGCCCCCGCTGGGCCCCCCTGGGGCCCCAGGATCGTGGAGGAGGCTGCAGTGCAACTGGCTAGGGCACGACCAACTTCGGCCCTGCCATTGGGCCCACCAGCGCCCCTGTGGATCTCTGTGAGCAGACGGGCCTGAGCCGCATACTCCTCATAGTTCTCAAAGAAAAGGCAGCCCGCCTCCTCGTTGAGTGCAGTCTCGGGGTTAGGGTGGATCAGCAGGCACTTGATGGTCAGCAGCACTGTAGGATGCCCAGCGCAGGAGTTTCGTGCAGAACAGACCTCCAGCATATGGGGTCCCCTCAGGGCCCGTGATGGTGACCTGGAGGTCGGTGAGGTCCTCCTCGTTGAGAAAGACCTTGATACCATCGAGTGGGTCTGTGGTCAGTGTCGTCACTTCCTTGTACAGCAGGCTGATGATGTGCGGGGGCAGGTTCTCCACGTTGGAGTTTACGGCTGGGACCGGATGGGGGCGGGTCCCCCCGGCCCCCTTTCTGCATTCTTCGGCCCGCCGGCCGTGGCAGGGGGCCCAACTGCTGCTGCTACGACCCTGGCGAGACCCCGGCGGCCCCGCTCAGCTCCCCGCTGCCTCTGACACCTGCCACTCACAGCGTCCAACGACCCGCCACCCCGGTGCCCAGCCGCACTGAGCCCTTTTTTTTTTTCCTCCCAAATAAAATCAGTTTATTGTTTAATTGCACCCCAAAGCAAATTCTCTCAGTACAAAGTAACTACTACATACATACAAAATGCATGTTAATGTAATAATTTCCCTGGCTCATCCAATGTACAATGCATAGCAAAGACTACGATTTGGGGCTAGTGTACACGATGTAAGAAAATAACTCTCCAAGTTTCAAAACCTGCTTCTTATACAACACTCAGGTCATCAGGTCGTATTTACTTCTTGGTAGGATGTTGCACTGTCATTTATCAATCTACCTCACAACGTACATTACCGAATGCCGATTTGAGGAACTAGAGATAAAACTTTAGTTCTATATTTAATTGGCTGAATAAGGTAATTACAAGTAAGTTTGCTTTACCTTCTGTTGAAGACCTCTTTACAGCCTCAGCACCTAACGATATCTATCAGGCTCCAAGAATGCTCATCAGGTGAAATGATGGCACAACATTTAAAAAAGGAGCCAATTACTTCACCTTAAGTCATTCAGAGCCAAACATCTGTAGAATGACCGAAATCAAATCTTTATTTTTATAAATGTATAAATGTGATCCAAATGTGTCCACCACTAGTTTTTTCAAGAAGAAACATGCTATAAATAAGCAAACTACCTCTGCTCACTGATGTGTATGGACTCCCTAGATGTCTCATTGGGCTTAATTACAGACCACCCACAGTAATAGATTTTTAGTTCAATGTGTAGCATGGTGTTAAGCCATTTTAGCTTTTGCACATACATGTTGCTCTTCTGGCTGATAATGGAAAAATGTGCGCTAAGCTAGGTTGCATCCCTCCGCTTAAATGGCATCAATATCAATGTCGTCATCCTTGTTGTCAGACTTCACGATTTCAAATTTCGGTACACTGGCAGTCTTCGAATACACCACCTCAATGTTCTCACCTTCATCATCTTAGACATGACCCATAAGCATTAACAATAAAGAAAACAGTGATACATTAATCTTCATTAAAATTAACAAATTCTACTCCTTGAAATACACTATTGAGTGAAAAGACAAGCCAGAATCTCAGAGAAGATAATCACAATGCATATGTCCAACAAAGGACTCATGTTCTGAGTATCTAAAGAACACATTCAAATAAATAAAAGACAATTTTTTAAGACAAAAGAATTAACAGGCACATCCCCAAAGAGGATATACAAAATGGTCAAGAAATATGGAAATATGTTTAATATCATTACTCATCAGAGAAATACAAATTAAACTCGCCATGAAACATCACCGTACATTCAACAGAATGAACAAAATTTAAAAGACTGACGATGCCAAGTGCTGGCAGGGATGGCACCGACTGCTGCAAGGAGGCAAAGGGTGGATCGGCTGCTTTGAAAAACTGGAACTTCCTACTCAAACTAGATCTAAGCCTGTCTTGTGACCCAGAAATATCAGTTACCTGTAGGTGTTGTCAGGCCTGAGCTCTTTTGCTAAAGCAACTGCTGACCCCTAGTCAGAGCATGAAACGTCATGACTAATTAATAGTGGTGCTTTGCACTTGTGGATTTGAGGAGCACGGTGTGAGCTGTGCCAGCTTGTCAGCATTGTTCATTGGTAACAGATGATTTGTACCTGGCGTTGCTGAGAATCCTAGAGGTCTCCGCCATTGCAGCCGTGGTGTTCTGAAGTGCCTGATAGATGGAAAAGTTAGAGGGAATAACAAACATGTTTTGCAAATATCTTTTTGTTAAAATTCGTATGAAATGTTGTTTTGGGGGGAGAATGGCCAAACTGAGGGAATGTGTGCTCTTTCCAGGTCCACAAGGGGCGTAGTTTCTAGGGCAGGAACTTCTAGCGACAGACCTTACCTACCTTCCCCCATGTCACCATCCAGGAGACTTAACCATCTTTGTTTAACTTTGGTACATGTGGGAAAGGACCAAAGGTCAATCACTCCAGTGGAAGTTTAAAGGAACTCTTTTCATTGGCCAGCGGGCTTAGAGAAGGTGGAAATTCCTCCCATGTTAAAAGTCCCCTTCTTCCTCACCTCCTTGGATTCCATACGTGGGTCCCCTGCCACTACCTTTGTGGAAGCTGCTTTCTCTCTCCTGGTTTCCATCTTTCTGGATTCTCTCACTCAGTGTGAGAGGAGCTTTCCTTCCCTGATTTTCCCCCTCTGGGGACCCTTCTCAGGAGAAAGCAGCTTTTCTTTCTCCTCACTCAGTGTGAGAGCTAGCTCTCTCTCCCCTTCTTTTTTCTCTCTGTTTCTCTCTGCCTAAATAAATCGCTTTCTGCAAAAGCCTTTTGGGTCCAGTATTTACTTGCAAGTGCACCGTGCCCGGTGTGGTCCCCTCTCCCATTCTTGGGAGAGGGAGAGACCAAGAGCCTGGAGTACACCAAGGAGCAAGCTAAACCTCCCCTGCACCCTGAAACCTGGAATCAAAACCACCTGTTGAGTAATCTGCAGTGTGTTTGAACCTGGTTCAGGGGAGTCGAGAGAAGGCTAATGTGTAGAGAGCTCTGTGCCACTGTGCTCACTGTGAGGCAAGATGAACCATTATCCGTTATATCTGTGCATTTCGTTTTACTTATCTCTGTATACAGTGTATATAAAGGAGTCCTAGTTTACATCTAGTTTTTCTAGATGTTAAAGAGGGTGCCAGTGTATGGCAAAAGTAGAGTTAGTAAACTCATATATTTCGTATATTTTGTTTGAAAATTCCAAGAAAAGATTGTCTCCTGAAAAGTTGAGCATTCTTTCTCACTGGGTTGATGGAGCTGGGAAGGATCCTAGGCCAGAATGTCCATATTTCAAAGACTCTTTCAAATTATAACTATGGTTACATGTGCGCAGTTTATTCCAGACTGTGGTGTACATAATGGACAAAATCACTCCTTACCTGAAACATCTAGTCTGTCTAGATGTCTAAAGTGCCTGATACATGTTAAATGTTGAGGTGACAACATAACACTTTGCAAATATCTTTTTGCTAAAATTTGTGGGAAATACTCTTTTTTGGAAATTGAATTGTGAGCAGTATAGTACTGTCTATACTTGTTCAACGACTTAGAGGAAGTGAGAGGGAGGAAATTGCAAAAGGTAATATGCTAGTGTGTTCACACTTGGACATTTTCAGACACCATTTTTCTGTATGTTTTGTGCATTTTGTTTTGCTGTGCATATAGTGCATATAATGAAAAAGTGAGTCTTAATTTTGTAGCATCTAGTCTCCAGATGTTAAAGAGGTTTCCAGTGTATGGAAAAGTACTAAGAAAATCAGTATATTTTTATTCCTTGTGTTGAAATTTATAGGAAGACTTGTCTTCTGTCAATGACTTTTGGATAGAAATTTGTTCGTCTCTAAGCATTACATGTGCCTGTACTTGTCCAGTGGATTGAAGGCAGAGAGAAAAAAGTGAGGAGAGAATGGTTCAAGGCCAAAAAGGTCATTTTAGAAGATACCTCAGATTATAACCATTGCTATGTGTGTACGATTTTATTTAACGGTGCTGTGTACATGGTGGACAAGTTAAATGAAATACCTAGTCTTTCAAGACATTTGAAAATGCTTGATTATTCATTTATTTATTTTTATTTTTATTTATTTTTTGTGATGGGTCTCACTCTGTTACCCAAAGCGGAGTGCAGTGGTGTGACCTCGGCTCACTGCAACCTCTGCCTCCCCTCTCCAGCAGCTGGGGTTACTGGTGCGCACCACCACCACCCTGCTAATTTTTGTATTTTTATGAGAAATGGGGTTTCACCAGGTTGGCCAGGATGATCTTGAACTCCTGACCTTAAATGATTCACCTGCCTCAGCCTCCGAAAGTGCTGGAATTACAGGCATGAGCCACTGCACCTGGCATGTGATTATTAGAAGTAGAATAATCACATTTTTAAAATTTGTAAATAGCTTTAAACAAAACAGATGGGAAATACTGTTTGGAAGTGGATTTGTTGAACTATCTCTGCAAACAGTATAATCTCTGTACTCGTTTATTGGGTTGAGGGTGGTGAGAGGGAAGAAATTGCAAAAGGTGTTTTGCTAGTGTTTATTAGAAACTTTCAGCTTAATCTACAGCCTCCCAGAGTGCTGGGATTACAAGTGTGAGCCACTGCGCCCAGCTAATAGTGGCTACTAAAGACAAGCCCTAATGCTCAAAGTTGTTAAAAAATAGATGTAGTAAAACAATCTATCTCTTTTGTTAGATTTTAGGAAGGCCTGTCTTCTGGGAGTGACCTTCGTTACTCCGCCTCTTGGAGCCAGATATAGTCCTATACTTAGTCACTGGGATAGTGGAAGACGGAGAAAAGGAAGGGTGAAGGAAAGGGCTCCTTGCCAGTATCTTCACATCTAGAAGACAGCTTCAGATGGTAACCATAGCATTTTTAGTAAAGTGCCTGTGTGTAATTCTGGATAAAGCTCGTTATTTTGCAACATCTAAGCTTTATGAATGTCCTGGGGAGCATGGCAGCTGCCAGAGACCAAGCCCAGGCGTGCAGCTGGGGGCTGAAATTCACCTGGGGTGTGTGCAGCAGGCTGGGGCAAGCAAGTAGACAAGTGGGGTGCAGCCCAGGGGTGTTGGGGTCCACACCAGTTGTGCATGTGCCAGGCCCACAGCTGAAGTCAGAGCATGCAGCCCTAGTAATGGCAATGTAGATGCAGCTTCTTCTTCAGTGGAAGAAGAAAAGTCTGGCCTACAACCCATTTCACGGTTAGAACAGTGTGGCATAAATGCCAATGATGTGAAAAAAATCGGAAGAAGCTGGATTCCATACTGTGGAGACTGTTGCCTATGCACCAAAGAAGGAGCTAATAAATACGAGGGGTATCAGGAAGCCAAAGCTGATACAATTCTGGCTGAAGCAGCTAAATTAGTTCCAGCAGGTTTCAGCATGCAACTGAATTCCACCAAAGGCGGCCAGAGATCACACAGATCACTACTGGCTCCAAAGAGTTTGACAAACTACTTCAAGGTAGAATTAAGACTGGATGGATCACAGAAACATTTGGAGCATTCCGAACTGGGAAGACCCAGATCTGTCACACATACACTGGCTGTCACCTGCCAGCTTCCCATTGACCGAGGTGGAGGTGAAGGAAAGGCCACGTACATTGACACCAAGGGTACTTTAGGGCAGAAAGGCTGCTAGCAGTGGCTGAGAGGTATAGTCTCTCTGGCAGTGATGTCCTGCATAATGCAGCATACGCTCAAGCATTCAACACAGACTGCCAGACCCAGCTCCTTTATCAAGCATCAGCCACGATAGGAGAATCAGTGCCACCACCCTTTACAGAACAGACTACTCGGGTTGAGGTGAGCTTTCAGCCAGGCAGATGCACTTGGCCGGGTTTCTGTGGATGCTTCTGCGACTTGCTGATGAGTTTGGTGTTGCAGTGGTAATCACTAATCAGGTGGTAGCCTAGGTGGATGGAGCAGCCGTGTTTGCTGCCCATCCCAAAAAACCTACTGGAGGAAATATCATTGCCCATGCATCGACAACCAGATTGTATCTGAGGAAAGGAAGAGAAGAAACCAGAATCTGCAAAATCTACGACTCTCCCTGTCTTCCTGAAGCCGAAGCTATGTTTGCCATCAGTGCAGATGCAGTGGGAGATGCCAAAGACTGAATCATTGGTGTTTTTTTCCTGTTACAAACCTTAAGTGTGGCAGCCTAATGGGAGTGCACCACCCTGCCCCCTGCGGTTCTCCACAGGCCTCTTCCTGTTGTGACTGCCAGGAAAAGGCTTCCAGGAAAACAGCTATTGTGTCAGCTTTTCTGATGGTGTAAACAGGAGTCAGGTCAGTAGTCACAAACTAATCTAAAATGTTTATTCCTTCTGGAGTGTAAAAATAATGATTTTATTTCTTTATTTTCTCATTTCAAGCTCATATTTTTCATCAGGACACAAGAAGACCTTGCTTACATTCTAATACACGTGGGGGAGCAGTGATGAGA